ACACCCAAGAGTGTCCAAAGAGATGTGAGACCAGCCGAAATCATAATTCTTCCTTCTTTCCTATCAAAGGTACCAAAGCTTCCTACATCAACTTTTCTGGAACATACTTTGGGTTGAGTTCAGATGCAGCATCATTTACTCACTCCTCAGAGCAACAGGGAAATTATGGGAAAGACCAAACAGACACTCACCTGTTTCTGAAGTGGCTGCATTGCTGTAAAACTGTGATCATTCATGACCAACTGGTTTGTTAAACGAGTATGTAATACATGATTTCTTCCCCTTTACTAACGTCCATTTATTATATCTCCAGTGAGTGCTGGAACCCATTAAGTGTATTTACATTTTTCCCCTTAAGTATTGTTTATTGAGTTTTTATTTCACATTTGCTAACCATCCAGCAAATACTGTGGTTATGCAAATGTTTACACTGAGTGTATCTTATTTACTTTTGCACAAAAAAGAGTTGTTCTTAATTCTAAAAATACTGAGTTTGTTTAAAGAAAAAAAATGATTAATAATTACTGAGAATTGGAATTTTCTAGTTGTTATAAACTGAACAGCACAGCTGAACAGCAAATCACATGATATTTCTGAATTATGAGGAAGATGTCAGGCACGTTCCCACATCCTCCTTCAGGCAGATCTTCACTAGCAGTAAGGAATATCTGCCAGCAAAGGTGGGGTCCAGATAAAAATAAATACATAACTCAATTAACATGTTTGCAAAGCTCAGTGCTCATTTTCCAAAAGCAGCATCAGGTACTAACAGACATTCGACATTCCCAACCTGCCCACTCCTTCATAAAGTAGCAATGGTTGTAGCTTCAGAAATGGTTCCATGCTGACTCACTTTTCTGCAATACCCAAAAGAGCTGAGACAAACCACACACAGAGAATTATTACTCCCAGTTATTGCTTCCCTTGAGCTATTTGAATAATAAACAACAAAAATGCATAAAGTGAATCCAGATTTTTCTATTTTACTCTTTTAGAATTTAAGCTCTTTAAGGCAGGACTTCTTCATTCTGGATTTTGTACAGTGTTTATTTCACTTTGTCAACAATTCACATAATATATGATAATAATTATTCTGTCCTTGCTTAAAAGGTGACCACACAGCACTCAACAAAAACCGGATCTGGATTCGGTTGATGGTAAATATTAAAGTCTACAATGAAAGGCAGTGTTTAAGTGCAATGGACTACCCAAGGCTCATAATAAAATAAGCGAAATATGACTTCATAGCATTTGAATAGTTTCAGACATAGGGAGAAAAAAAAAATCTGTTCACTGTGATTTACTAGACTAGAATAAAGAAAAACAATGAGTGAAAAGGGGAAAAGGAGCACAAACACAGATATGATCCCAATTTCAATGAAAGTGGAACTGCTCATCATCATAGCTAGTCTTCACAAAGCCCTTGTAATGAACAACTTACAAGAATTATGTTTATAAACCTGGTGAATAAAGGTTGTCAATAGACAAGTATTTATTTCAAATATATGTTTCCACATATAAAAAGTCATGCAAAAGAAGGTAGGATCCCATACTCATTGACTGACTGACCATAGTCTGACTGACCACCTGATAGGACAGATTTGGTCTAGATCAAGCAAGAACAAACATTTATTGTTCAATCAACCAACACAATATGGGAGTTAAACCAGGTTTATGTGGAAAAATATAGATGATAGACATCAGAGTACAGCACAGGCAGGTAACAACTGATTCAATAAAAGTTTAACCAGAACACAGTTACAACTTGAAAATTTTTAAAAGGCACAGTGAGTTTGCACCAGTTTCTTGATTTTTGTCTCAAGCTTTTGTAATACATTGGAAAATAACCTAAAACAAACATACAATCACTTTAGCTCATATGCTAAGGATTAAATCTATCTCACTGGATAAAAAGGAATATCCTCTACAGACTCACTCAAGAATTTGTTTAGGGTTAGCCACAACGTCATTAGTAGTTTCTGTTTACTACCTGGATAGGTATATTAACAAAAGTCAAAGTTGGGTGGGAGCAGGAAACAATTCCTCCAGGAAAAGGAAAAACGTTATTTTTTCATTTTGAAACAAACATCCTGATTAAACTAAAACAGATAATCAGAGACCTGCATCTCAGAGGAACTTTCTCAGTCCTTTTCTACTAAGAAGACACATTTTAGGTACCACATAGTGAGTTAATTGACTGTGTGAGCAATGAGATGAAAAAAAAAAATTTCAAATAATTTGACCAGGTTCCATGTGGCTCTTGTAATATTAGTGCATTTTCTGATGCTGTGATACCTCATAATTATTTCTCTATTTTAATAACATTATTTTAACTATCCTGTTTCTTTTCTGGACTGTATTATCATACTCTAGGATCTTTTGACAGCTAAAAAACAAATGGAAAAGTAGTAATTTTGCTTCTCTGCTGTTTCAACATCCTATTTGTATTCTTTGCTACATCAGAATATCCTTAGTGATTTATTCAACATCACCTCTTTTCTGATATGTTCTTTTACTTAATTAGGTTCAATTACTTAAGCAAGAATTACAGCCTCATCATGGATAATTTCACTCTGTTTCGCTCCAGCTTCAAAAATTTATCTTCAATTTTTTTTTTCTAAGTTTCACCTTGTCAGCCAAAACTAAAGTTCCCTTCTAATATTAATTTTCAAGAACACTCTAGAAAAAAATATTGTGGTCTCCTACGTGATGTAAGATACCACAGAATGTCTTTTTCTCTATGTTTTTGTCAGGGCTTTTTCTTCCAATAAAAGGATTACCTATCTGTGTGTATTGATTACATGGACTTCAATTTCATCCCCCTTTTTTTTTTCTTTTCTCTCTCTCTCTCCCCGCTTTCTGGCTGTTCTTAATTAACTGTCTTATATATAACTATGTACAATATCCTTTACCGCATATTGAGATCAGACTATCAAACACAGATGCATGTATCTCAGAGAAATACGCAGTAAAGATACAGTATGACAAAAAGCTACAGCACAACAGTAATTCTAAAGATGCGAAACTATCAGAAAATGGCCACAGATTGAGACAGAAATCTATATTCTTCTCTTGAGTTCCTTTAGGTTTCAAATATATACAAATAAAATTAAAAAAAAAAATCCTAAGAAAATATGCTAAATATTGGTCACACATATCCAGTGGTAGAGTTTCCAAGTTTCCCCCAAATCAGCACTTTTGGATGAACTTTATCTTATTACAACACAAATTAATAAAAATTATAATGAAATTGTAGTAACTAATTTATGGATGCAAAATTTATTTTTATAAAATTAAAATCTATTTAAATAGCAGCCTGTTCAAGTAGAACAGCTCAACAAGACTTCCACAATTTACACAGGTGGAAAAGAACAGACTTTCAACACTTGCATGAGCATACTTGAGCAGATTTGTCCCCTTTGCAGTCACTGCTTCCATCTTTCTCTTTATTGCTGAATATATAGTTTTACATGTCCATAGCCAAGTATGATTAACTGTGCGCTTCTCCCATTTTCTAGGTTAAATAGTTATGCTTTCAGTAGCCTGGTTCCTCTTCAGTCCAATATACAAACAGTGATATGCAAATACACAAACAATGATAAAGACATCTAAGTAACAACCATGGAAGCACTATACCAACCTTTAAAAAATACTAGAATTTAATTTAAAGAAAATTTTAAAATGCTTCAAGTACCTTTCAGATGACTTGCATATTGTGCTTATAATTGGTACGAATTTGTAGAAAAGCTGGTATGCCAGCAATGAGCTTGTAAAATTTTTTACATTTTTGCAATGTATTAAACAAGTTGTTCTATAACCAGTGAAACGAAGTCATGTTTCCTTCCTGCTGGTGTCATCTGTACTCTAGCCTTCAATTAACAGAATTCCAACATACATCTGCTCCCCAGCGTTCTCTGCAGGACCAAAGTGCCAGTCCTAAATGCACAGCGACTAGCCAAACAGAAGGCAAAGAGCAGAGTTTTGCCCACTGGTAAAAGTCATCTTTCACCTAGCCAGCCATCAGCTTTCAGAAAACTATAATTTAATTCCTTCTGAGCTAAACGCTCT